TATAAATGTAAGTTGCAATTTGCTATCTTATCCACAGCGGGTGAACTCCTTGTCCAAATCAGACAACTGGGTAATTCAAATGATCTTACACATGTACTGATTTATTGATTGAATTATATCAACAAATCTAGATACACAGCATTTCCTTTTATATTTCTGAGCCTGTAAGGCTATATCATAGGCGTACAGGATGATTTTGAAGACATTCATCCCACCTAAGTCAATACCACGTCATATGACTCGGACGCATTGGAAATTCTTACCATGTCGTTTCATCATGATTGCCTTCAGCTCTTACCCATATTGAATGAACATGCGCTTGATGCACTGCTAGAAATGCACAGAAACATTTTATGCATCTTAACAATGAAAGTTTTACCAGGAAACTTTCGATGCGATTCGCAATTAAGGAAAATATAAATCCCCATCTGAGACTACGTGAAATATATCTGAACAAATATTGCGCTCTGATTGAAGGCAAACACTTTGATACGAAATGAAAAGATGTTTCAACAGGTTCCAACAATGTACGCGTACAAGGCAAACATGTATCATAATGTATCAAAGTAATAGGGGTTTCGAAGATGTTACAAAAAAAGGCCTATAGTATTCGTATATTTTTTTCTCTTGGTCAGTTTATACTTGCTCTTTATAAGGTTTATACATGGGTGATATAATAACTAATAGAGCAGTAAAGAAATGTATGGCAACAGCCTAATCACATACGAAAAATGTTAAGTAAACGATGTTCACAGTCTGTTACACTGACTTCATCAAACGAAGACATGCAGTATCTATATTTCTGAATATGATGTGGGTCGAGAACCTGATCATTTTTGTTTTAACATCAACTCGTGATCAATTAATGCCCAGATAAGACGGGCAGATCCGAAATGAAAGAGATGAAAGCAAGAAAAAACCCTAAAGAGAAACATGCTTAAGATATGACTTTTGAGGTCGAAAGGATGAACTACAATGCTACTTCGGTAAATGCCCATTAACGTATCGAGTTCCGAAAGTATTCCGTAATCCAAACCAGATCTTCATTCCGGTAAAAAAAAAAAATAATAATAAAAAAATACAAGAATAATCACCCTTTACAACATAGGTTCTTTGCCTGGGTCCAAGGAGGAGTTTCGGGGGGTCCGTGAGGATCAAATAAAAATTTACATTCATATTATTATCATTATTATTCTGATTATTATTGTTTGATAATCAACCTACAATAAATAAAGTGCACTAAACACACTGCATAAAAAGTTGTGTGCATGTAAATATTTCTGGGGAAGGGGGTCCATAGCTTTCATTATATTCGTAAAGGGGTCCGTGACTCTAAAAGAGTCAAGAACCACTGCGCTAGAGATCACTTGCAGAACTCGAAAGCGCAAGGAAAATCTCTTTTCCTCTTTTGAAATGAGAGGTTTTCAAAAAGCCTTTTTCTTCTTTAAGTCTTAAAACGAGCCGTTGTTCATGAAAATGTACATGCTCGTTCACAGAAAAAAACGAGATAGATTTTATGTATGAGCCATACAATTGCTGAGTTGTTGAATTATATCGATATGTTCTGGGTGTCGAGAACAACTTGCATGTTGGAGAGGAATATTTCTCCTTCCCATAACTTAATGAGTAGGCCTTATTATCTTTTCAGAGGTGCATTTAAATAAGGACTGGGTTAGTGTCAGTCAGTTTGTCAAAAGTATTTCTTTTACATAGATATATGCATTTCTTAATGCCAAGTCGTGGCTTGCGATCTTAGTATATTTAAGCCCAGTCTATTCCCTTACCCTTGTGAAACCCTTGATTAGTAAAGTAAAGAATTTTACAGTAATACCAGAGCTCAGTCACAAAAAATATCAGTCAAATTCTAGTTGGAGGAGAAAATAGAATGCTGTGAGCAGTCGACGTCAGTTTTCTCTCTGCAACATCTTGTGGACATTAAATATACAGGCCGTTTATCATACGCATAGGGGTTAGGCGGGTTTTGCGTGGATTTGAGAGTTCCGTTTCAAGATCTTGAGATTGACGTTTTTGAGTCTCTTTGTCCCTCACAGGTATAGGGGCTGATTATTTTCTTACTATCAATTTATATGTATTATAGTGAACTGTTGCAGGGCGGTTATAGAGAAAAGAAATTCAGACAAATAAATGTGATAATACATAAAGTTAAATTATGATTCTCAATGCGGTCTTTGTCAGAATCGATTTCATATGCATATTCTGTTTACGTTCTATTGACTAAAAAACTGCCACTGTAACAAACACTCAAATGCATTTTCTATAAAGTCCGGTTTAACAACCACTGCCATTTTCAGAGTTATTTACCGTGAAATAGTCTGTTTGGTTGATCTTATTATCAGTTCTCACGACTGTCATTAGAAAATGACAAATGAAAGTCAAGTCCTAACTACGTCTTTACGTAATACCTTAAGAGAAAATTATACAAAATCAGTGCGACAAGGGAAATGTTAAAACAATTAACAAGGGAAAGGAAAATGTTTAATTTCATTTATATTTATTGCTTCATTGGAAAATTTGCCTGGAATAAGAGAACGACTTATAATTGAGGGACTGGGAGTCCGGGCGAACACACAACGCTATAATTTAGTCAGTGGTCAAAAAAAGCATAAAGAAGCGTTTCTGCTGTTAGTTGCACTCATTGCAGTTACAATTGCACAGCCACCGTCTGTGTATTTTTACCTTAGTTTACCTTACTTTCTAACTTTGTTGTTCCTAATTCTTGCAACGTGATTTAGTACATCACATAATATTCAATGAATATAACCATAGTTATTTAAAATATAGCCATTGAGCAAACACTAATATATATATATATATATATATATATATATATATATATATATATATATATATGTATATATATATATATATATATATATATATATATATATATATATATATATATATATATATAGTTTATATGCGATTGATTAATATAACCGCTGTAAAAAATATTTCCTACGGAATTTTCTGTTACCTTACTTCTATCATTGATCAGAAAATGGCTGTCAAAATAGAAGTCAAATCCCAAAACACGTTTACATAAGGGGTCATCCATTTCTTCATTATTTTCACGTTTACAAAAAATATTCTTTTCCCAAACCCCGCCCCCCCTCCAGATAGTACAAGGCAAAAATATAAAAATGACGACCTCTTCCGTAGGATCTCTAATTTGATCAGGATCATCATTTTTATGTTTTTATTAAAGCGTACGCCATAAATGGGAAAAATGAAAAAAAAAATGAAAATAATATATTTATGAAAATTCCTCGCATTAAAGGTTCTAAAATCTGGCTCACAAGTTCAGCAAACAGAACAGCCAGCAAAAATCATTGCTGCGTCAGAGAGGTTCTCACTCTATATTATTCTTGATCCAACGGAGGTAGGCGCCTACTCGTGTGTAGACTCCAGGGAAGCCTGTACTGCCGCACCCGACGCCGAGCGAGACCGTGCCAACAACGTAGAACCTGCGGGTGTTGACGTCGAAGTAGTTGAGAGGCCCGCCGCCATCACCCTGTAGGGAGAAAGGGCCTGCTGAATTGTAAGTTTAGGAAGAACGCTAAACAAGCCATGCAGCGGTGTAACGCATGAATAAGTGTGTGTGCGTTTATGTGTATGTATTTGCATGAGAAAAGATATAAAGGTACTGTAATATTAGAAGGGTCACAGTGGCCATCGTAATTAATTAATAATTAGGGTTAATCGTAATTAGTAATTAGGGTTAATCGATTTTTTAAGATTACAGTCTGGCAAAACACAAATTGCGCTGAAATATGTTATCAGTATTTCCATGGCGTTTCGCTAACCAATTAGTCTACTTTAAACGATGACTCTCAGCCTACACACTTAAAAGGGACAACAAACCACTTACGCCACAGGAGTCTCCACCTTCGCTGCCTGCACACATCTGCGAATCCGTGAGGGTGAGGCTCAGTCTGTCATATTTGGCCTGACATGTGCCTAAATCTACCACTTTAAGCACTGCTGAAACTGGTAGTTTCGATGCCTCGACATCTGCTAAATGTGAGAAAGAATAATAATCACATTTCTTATAAAAAGATCTTTAGCTATATACTGTACATTCATCTCTATGTATATCTGTATATCTATATATTCCCATCCATATCTTTCTATATATTTTTTCTCTATCTATGTACAGGAATTACAAATTTATGTATATCTATACACACGCTTATACAAATGACCAATATCGCCAGTGCACTGTCCTCAGAGATAATACCTATATATTTATCTTATGTATGTAAGGTTTTAACTAGGTATGGCAATGAGGTATGTATACGGGGTATATGGAAGGCTAAGTCTATTTTATGTGCAGCAAATGCACACATGTGTGTATAGTATATAGAAAATGAATTGCTTTGAATCTTCTGTATGACTTCCTTCTCTGGCAGTTCTGCCATTGCCTGTGACTCACCGGTGGCAGTACGGCCATAGCCAACAACAGCAAGATGCTTAGTCAAGAATTCCTCGCTCCGGTAGTTGAAAGGAAGGCAGACTGGCCGAATGAAGTCTGTCGATGAATAACACATTAATGGATATCATGGCAAATGGAGGAAAACAACAGCAACGCCAATATTCACTTCTCCGTCATTAAAAAAAGGCAAGTAATTATGAAAATAAAACAGATTTACAGCATCATTGTCACCCATTTCCAGATTGTTAATTGGTATTTTATAGTCTCTAATGATCAGAATGTAGACATATTTACCCTTTATATCAGGAAAATAGTACTTTCAGTTAATAATTTCAACTATTTCATTATAGCTACATCATCCATTAAGTGCTATGCCGCTGATACATAGTCTAATACATTAAAAACTATAAAAACTGATTTGGAGATACAAAGACATATAAGTACGTAAATATACCGAAGAGTAAATGATTAATTATGTTGATATATGATAAAAATAAATGTACAGATTGAGAAGCAAAGAAACACACATGCAGTGATAGATTCAGTTGTATATACTGGCGTACAGATAAACTGAGGGAAAAAATGATAGTGACACAAATAGAGAAAGAGACAGTGTATGCATGTTATACAGTAAAACCTGAGAAACCGAACACACATGGGACTGTAAAAAATGTGCGGTTTGGACAGTGATCGGGTTTGGAGAGGGTGGGCCTTTAACACAGGCCGCCTATTGAAATGGGAAGGGACTGAGAATATCGTCCAGAATGGACAGTGATCCGGTTTTCTCAGGGTCCAGTTTTCTCAGGTTTTACTATATATACTATCAGACAGACAGATTAACAAAAATGTAGTGATGTAAATTGATGACGAAAGAAGGATTATCAACAGATTTTTTTCCATGCCGATAAACTGAAATGGCTGTCAGCAGGTAAGATGTTCTAAATGCGCAATTATTAATTCCTTAATGGTATAAATTATTAAACGCATAAAACTGTCATGTCTCTACTCTCGGTCGAAATGTGTGATAAGTCATTCGTTGTAATCGATATAAAAGCAATATTGGCGGCTACGGTCTTCTACATGCGAATCCAAATTTTTCACTTTGGGAATTAGCAATTACAAATGAATTGCACATGAACTTTGATGCGAAATGTTTTGGCCTTGGTGTTTACGACTTAGAATATGGCTAGAAGAGAGACATAAACACAGTTAGACATACCCACATGGATTAATAAATGTAAGCATAAATCGACAGAAATATTAACAGATTGTCATACAAGCACGCTTAAAGGGATAGGCAGACATGCAACAAGGTAAGAATTCAAACAGACAGAATAGGCAACGAGACAGATAGAAAGACAATTCCAAAGATCACAAACTCACCATTGAATTCAACGTCCCTTTCCAGAGTCAAGATGGATATGTCGTCTCTGTGTGTAGTTGTACTATATCCTGGATCAGTGTGGTTCAGGACGAGTACGTCTATATGATGAGCCTCGTCAGTGCGGGTCAGGTCGAAGTCACCGAGACGAACGTAGTGTCTGAAGAATAAATAATGACATTAATCGAAATAAACACATGCATTAGTTCATTTCCTTAGGGCGTTACTCAAACTATCCAGTGTGGAAGACCTAGTGTGCTATGGGCCAGAAGGATATAGGTGTCATATTAATTGTTTACGTCCCGGAAAGTATTATTTGAATATTCGCAGTAACATCCATTCATACAAGCAAAAAACTTTAATGAAGAAAAAAAATCAGTGGAGATAAAAAATCATTATATTATTATATTACTATATTATTATCCTGTTGCTTTTTCTAGAAACTTGTCACAGACCGGCAGCCTGTGACTCCGACACTGTACTTGTTAGCATTGCTTTGGGGAAATAGATGTAGATATTGTTTTGATATGTAAGTAGATGTAAAGGGTTTACGTAAATTGCATGTGATATATGATTATGGTTTTGTTGATAAGCAATCATTAATACAATTGTTTTCTTATATTTATTTATTTTTAAATTTTAATTGCTTATACTCGACTGTAAAACGCATGTGAGGAGGGATACCCTTACCTGTCACCTGTAAACTAAGTGGACGGTCATTTTGCCACTGTCTTTGCTTGCACTAGCAGTACCTTGCACCTACTCGTGATTTCTCTGCGTGTATTTGCTTTATACACACACACACACACACACACACACACACACACACACACACACACACACACACACACACATATATATATTACATTGTATTGGCGATAATCGTATTGGCATTAATTGTATGTATTATTTGTAGCCTTTTTACAGTGCATGTGATAGCTGGAGGCATAAAACCAAGATTCGAAGTGCATATGCGTTACGCCCCTTCCTGACTAAGCTGTACTTCTACACACGCGATTGTGATTTACCGAACCAATATTCTTGTTTTGTCTTATTATGTATGATTATGGATTGTAGAATAAAATATATTATAACTGTCATGCATATCCCTTCAAATTAAACACTGACAAGACACCTGAGATGTATTAGACTAATTAAAAGAAAATCCTTACAGTACATATGATGATTAAAGGCATGGTCACACTAGCGTTTTTTTTTCTTTTTCAGCAATATCCTGTCGTCGATTTCCCGCCCTCGATTTCTGAAACAAATATGGCGCCTGTGGTTGCCCGCACCACCCTCGTCGCAGGTTATTTGTCATCTGCTGTAGAAATGGAGGCTCAACGATTACTAAAATGACGTGTATGGGTTCGTTTGTGGTTGCAAAAAAGAAATAAAAAAGTGTATCATAATCTGCAGCAAGAATTTCGTTTGAAACATTGCATTGCTATAGACAAGCTCCATTGAAGAACTTGGAAGACCTGTAAACAATGATGATATCACGGATACTCTCCAGTGAAAGTAAAGATAATAAGTACGCTTGGAAAATATAAGGATATAGAATGCAATATCTATTAAAAATATGATGATTGAAATATATATGCCTATTATTATTATTTTTGCATTTGAGTATCTTTTTCTAAGCAGACAAGCAGACTACAGTCCTGTCATGACGGGCTTCGCTGATTTTCGATATCACAGGGACAAAATAGAAAGGATGCGAGATAGAATGGAATTGCAAAAAGATAACACAGGAACAAGGAAGAGTATGGAAATCGATGTACTAGTATAACAAAGGAAAAAAAAATACTCACTGGTTTATACCACTTTCAGCAGACATGCAATGAGCGCCTGTGAGAACATGGCGACGTGTGATAAGGGATCCTCCACATATTGGAAGAAAGGTGTTTTGGAAAGGTTTTCCAACGGCAGCAAGCCACGGCCATGCACCGCGCTGTTAGAAGGAATATGTAAGTATTATCTGGGAATCTGTAGTGTGCTTAACTTCTCGTAATTACAATAATGATAGTAAATGTAATCATAGTCATAATGATGTTACAGGTAAATCTAGGTAATAACAACTTATTGAAAAAAGTGAAATGATAATGTTCCGTAGTGAAGATGAAAATATAATGCAAATATGTGTTGAATCTCAACAAGTATGATGTGATATACCAGAATGCTTTTTCCTTTGCTTTTTTACCACTAGAACACGTAAAAATTTACCCTCTGAAGATCGTTCTGAGGACCTGAAGGCTCAGAGAAGCCGCATTCTTCCTCGGTTGGAATGAGAGGCTTAGAAGAAACTGAAGGGCAACATCTCGAGACGTAGCTCAGCAACTGCCTGCAAGCATCCGAACTCCATTGTAAAAAAAGTTTAAGATGTCCCATATGGGCCCCGCTTGAACATCTTAAAGGGCCATGATGAAATTTGACTGAGAACATTGCGACGTATGATAAGAGATTCTCCACATATTGGAAGAAAGGTGGTTTGGAAAGGTTTTCCAACAGCAGCAACCATGGAATGCACCGCACTGTTGGAAGGAATAGGTAAGTATTATCAGGGAATCTAAAGACTGCATAAATTTTCGTAATTACAATAATGATAGTAATTGTAATCACAGTCATGACGATGCTACTGTTAATTCTAGGTAATATAAAAGTACTGATAAAAATACAATGGCAATGTCACGTAATGAAGATGAAAATGAAGATAGGAAGCCGCACTCTTCCTCGGTCGGAATGAGAGGCTTCGAAGACTATTTATTACTTGAAATTATCTGCCGCCTCAACAGCTAAGGTCATTAGCGGGGCTTCGAAGAGACTGGAGGGCAGCATCTCGAGACGTAGTTCATCAACTGCCTGCAAGCATCTGAACTCCATTGTGAAAAGGGCTGAATGATTATTGAATTTCCAAATGATTAGTGTGCCCACAGGCTTAAGATGTCCCATATAGTCCCCGCTAAAACATGTTAAAGGGCCATGGAAACTGATCATATGATGATTTGACTGATTTTCTTCCTTACTGTACCTTTGAAATTCATAACTGACCAGCTACTCACTCTCCCAACGGCGTGTTGAAGAAGGGTTGTACAGAAGGTTCGCTTCTCTGGCTGACAAGACTCAGGTAAGGAGAACACTCAGCCTGGGAGCCGCAGCTGCCTGCAGTATGGGACATGTAAGTGCGAGAGATGTCTAAAAGAGAGAAAAAATGGGGGAAAGAGGAGAGAGAGAGAGAGAGAGAGAGAGAGAGAGAGAGAGAGAGAGAGAGAGAGAGAGAGAGAGAGATGGAGAGAGAGAGATGGAGAGAGAGAGAGAGAGAGAGAGAGAGAGAGAGAGAGAGAGAGAGAGAGAGAGAGAGAGAGAGAAGAGAGAGAGAGAGAGAGAGAGGGGGGGGGGAGGGAAAGGAGAGAATGAGAAGGGGATTGAGAAGAGGAAAGGGGGAAAGGGTGAGAGAGGGAGGGTGAGGGAGAGAAGAGAAAGAGGAGGGAGCGGAAGATAGAGAGCGGGGGGGTGGGAAGAGAAAGGCAAGAGAGGAAGAAATGGGAGGGAGAGGGAGAAGGGGAAAGAGGGAGAGAGAGAGAGAGAGAGAGAGAGAGAGAGAGAGAGAGAGAGAGAGAGAGAGAGAGAGAGAGAGAGAGAGAGAGAGAGAGAGAGAGAGAGAGAGGAGTGGGAGAAGGGGAAGGAGGGGGGAGGGTGAGGGGAAGAGGGGGAGAGAGGGGAGAGAAGGAAGGGGAAGGGGAGGGAGAGGGGAGGAAGGTTTAAGGTTTTAAAGGTTTAGTTTGATTCCATTTGCTACAAGGGAGAGAATGAGAGACAGCGAGAGTGAGAAAGACCGAGACAGATACATATGTATGTATATTTGTGTGTGAGTTGTTTGTGTTTGTACTTACCGTCTGAACCACCCAGCGAGACGCAGGAAGGGCTGACTGTGAAGATACAGGAAAAATCAATAAAAAAATGTACAATTAGAATGTATCATATTACCATTATTCAATTTTCGTTAACGCCGTACCCATAACCACCGTCACGACAAACAATAATACCCACGTCGTCTAAATCCTTTCCATATCGAATATAAATACTTTGCAATGCGTATACCATAACGTTCAAAACAACTGAAAAAAAGAGACTACTATAATGAATTATATATTTAGATAATTTTGCAACCACCAGTCTCAAACGCAAACACCGTTAAGGTACGTTATCATGCATCTTTCATTATAAGCATAACGCAAACGTTTAAAGGAGATATTCATTTTCGAAAATGAATGAAAAACAATTGAACATGGTGATCAAATAAAACTTACCTTGTCCTTCGGCCACGTAAACAAACAGCAAAACTGTTCCCAGCCAAAGCATTGTTCTGCAGTGAGATCGGAAAGACGGATGGTTTTATTTGTGAATTCCTGGGGGAGCAGGACCGGGAAGTGGCTATCAAAATTTTGGATGAGTGCCAAGCTGGTTGTATTTCTCTGTAGGGTCACTAACATTACGACGACAAAGGTCATATGGTACTTCACTCTACATGCAATCACCGTTCACTGGTTAGTGATCTACTGTAAATGTTATGTTTTGTTTTAGACACATATACCAAATTGAAGAAGCTCATGGATTTTACATTTGCTTTATAAATCAAGGTTTAACTCACTTCCCCGTCATACCCTGAACAAAATCAATTATGCGAAAGAATTCTAGCGATCAACGACTTACCTGTAGTCTGGCCTAGGAACAGCCGAAAACTGAGCGCCTGGCTGAGGATGTGTCTGAGAAGATAATACAAGTCCGCCTGGGGCAAGAAACGTGCCAGGTCTCTCAAGGTTAAATATCATTTTCTTCTCCCTAATCGGACTATTGTTTCATTTGCTTTCGTATGGATATAGTCGCGTAAGTATCTTCAATATTTTTATGAATATGAGTATAATATTTCTTATGGGCATATTCTATCGAATATTTAAAATATATTTTAGAGTATGAGTATACTATGAGAGCAAACATAGGGAGGGAATTTTCCAAGCCTATGGTACTGAGGCTGTTTTAACCCAACCTGACATTTCTTTCCTACTATACTTGTGCGATCTCACTCTCATTCTCTCTCTCTCTCTCTCTCTCTCTCTCTCTCTCTCTCTCTCTCTCTCTCTCTCTCTATATATATATATATATATATATATATATATATATATATATAAATATAAATATATATATATATATATATATATTATATCTATATATATATACCTATATATCTATATCTATGTCTGTATATACAGATTTAGGATGAACCGTATTCATGTTGACAAATGTTGAAAAGGTATGAATGAAAATGAATATCTTCACAATATAAGAGATGTATTTGACCGGTTCCGATTATATGTTCGTCAGAAATACATGTATTTATATATATGTATGCATATATATATATATATATATATATATATATATATATATATATATATATATATATATATATGTAATATATATACATGTATGTATATATATATATATATATATATATATATATATATATATATATATATATATATATATATATATATATATATATATATATATATATATATATAAATATATATATATATATATATATATATATATATATATATATATATATATATATATATATATATATGTATGTATGTATACATACACACACAGACATATATATATATATATATATATATATATATATATATATATATATATATATATATATATATATATATATGTATGCATATATCTCTATCGATCGATCGATCTAAACTTCTCTATATGTAGATATATATCTATATATATATATCTCTCTCTCTATATATATGATATATATATAGAGAGAGATAGATACAGATATATTGACATGCATATATATATATATATATATATATATATATATATATATATATATATATATATATATACATATATATATATATATATATATATATATATATATATATATATATATATAATGTATATATATATATATATATATATATATATATATATATATATATAATGTATATATATATATATATATATATATATATATATATATATATATATATATATATATATATATATATATATATATATATATATATATATATATATATATATAATGTATATATATATATATATGTATATACATATTATATATATGTAAATATACAGATAGATAGATGTAGTAATGTATAAATATGCATATACAAATATATATATATTCATATATTTACATATATGTATATATACACAAATATAAATGTATCACTATATATATGTGTGTGTGTGTGTGTTTGTGTATATGTATATATATGTATATATATATATATATATATATATATATATATATATATATATATATATATATATATATATATACATACATGCACACACACACATAATCCTCACATTGTGCTGCACTTCAATAACAACAGGGAGAGGGAAATGCCTTGTCACGATAGAGATACATCTCCATGAAATATTCTTCCTTTAATAGTCTTTCAGTAAGGGTGAGGTTAACTTTCTCAATGTGGAGATCATGCGAGAGTCGATTTTGGATGTACAGTTGCGGAATTATATTTCAATGTAATCATAGCGCAAATGGTATTTTAATGAAAGAGGCGAAAACCCTAGGCTGATTGAGACAAAGTG